TATGGTCCGAGATTGATGTTCGCGCTCAACGAAGGTAATGTTTTTTTAGAAGGCGTTCACCGCGCAACTATTCTCCTTATTTCTGCGTATTAAACAAACAAACAATTCATTTTCAATATAGAATTATACCTAAATTATAAAATTTATATAACATTTGAAATAATTTTAAATTGCACAACCAAACGGAAATTTTAAATGAAGCGATGCGTCTCTTGCGTCACCCAACGAGCCGCCACTGTTTTAGGCAAACTTTCGCGTTGGGAACGAATTGGAGTGCCTGCCGAGAACTACTAATTTCGCCCCTCTCCAGGGACATATTAATTAAAAACAACATAAAATTGGCTACTGCGTTTCCTTCAAGGACTTATTTAACTATTATCCACATGTTTGTTCAGTTGCCGAGTTCCTTCAACTAGATGAATCCACAAAAATGCATGCCAAAATTAGCTTGTTCGGTCGTTGACCTAAATTTTTCTAATTTTATTTCCTATTTTTATACCGTGCAGTTTTTTGTTATGTTTAAATGTTTTTTATTTATACACTTGTAATATTAGCTTTTGTTGTTTTACCACTCGTTGTAGGTAAGCACTTTGATCTGAATAGGCAAACTAGGATTCTTATTCTACATAATATTTGGAATTTCTCCGTACAACAAAATATATGACTTTAAACACAAACGCCAAAGCCTACTTTTGACAGCTCTACCGCCTGGACTATACTAGCAACGTGTTATATTATAAATTATAGAGAGTTTCAGTACCACTTGAAGGCTGGCGTTTTATCGATAATCCCACTTTTAGTAAGAAAATGATAGAACAAGTAAATCCATTTAAACTATGAAAATATTGAAATACAGGGAGACTCCTATAATTTGAAAGATCACGGAGAACATGCAAACATTAGAAAATGCACCTTTCCTGTTTTGTCGAGAATTTTGTAAAGATACTCAATAATTATTATGATTAATGCGGGTGTTAATAGTTTCCTAAAAGCATTCTGCGGGGTGTGATTATGTTTATTATAGTACCGTACGCGGTTTTCTTTATGTTCAACGGGAGTGTAAAATTCAGGAAATATACGAGGTAAAAATATGCCTTTTTTCCTTATTGTGAATGCATTGTCAATTGTCTTATAAGATAAGCTGAAGAAAACTTATATAACTGGTACAGTGAAAAGATATTTTCTAAAATGCTGGACCAAAAAATGCGCATGTAAATGCTCCCGTTAAGGTAATATTTACTGTTAATAATTGTTATCAAATAAAGCAACACAACAAAAAATTATAAATAAGTCACCTGTTTATAGCTAGTACCGATTTGAAATGTATCAAAGAAAATACATATTAGTGAAGCACCCTATATACTGGAACGAGTGCACACACAGATAAATATATCTTAGAAACTGAAATTTATGATTAATTCGACATTATCGTTACTGACTAATTTTTGGCTTATAAAAACATATCACCCACATTAATATTGATTTATAGTAGCTGACTAATTGTTACTTAACAATCGGTATACTCATGATTAAAGCAATTTGTTCTGCATTTTTTAACTAATCACAATTTTTAAAATTGTAGGTTATTGTTAAAGACTAATAATGTATATAACATATAATTATTAAATTATTAATTATTAAACTACTTCCTAAACCCAGCCTACCTACCAGAAAAAATGTTAAAAATGTTTAAAACAACAACTACTTTACATTTAATTACATGTCTGTCTGTGATCTGAAGCTTCGCATCGATCAATTTATTCGATACGTATCTAGCGGCACCCTAATACCTGCCCTGTCGGCCTAGCATGGCGTGCCGGTGAACGATTCAGGTTTTTGCATTTGTCATTTGTGCGCGTGTGTCAGTTTGACGCTTTGCTTGTTTCGAGTGTATGGCACGAATTTTTATGGCAGTTAGTAGCATTGTGTTTCGTAAGCACCGAGCGGCACATGGCTTGACCATAGATTTAACCTATTTCTGCTACTACAACGCGGTTACTAGCGTAATATATGTAGATTACTGCTGTTTATTTGATTGTCGCCACAAAGTTTTCGATGTCTACTGTACTAATTAATACATTTTTAATTAAATAAAAAATAAACGTAAATCTTATTTTTTTTCTTAATTATCAGTAGAACAATTCCTATCAGTAGATATTATAACAAAGCCAATATATTCCTACATGTAACAACCAGATAAATAAATAATAATCCAAATCTAATTCCGATAAGAGAGTGTAAGAAGAATCAATCAATAAATTTGGATTAACATCAATTTTTTTTTAAACGCTTTATTAAAGTTTCTAAATAATTTTTTCGAAATATCTCCCAAAGGAAAAATTGAAATTAATTTTTCCGGACGGATTCGCACTGTATAAAAATGTGTAATGCCATCGAATAGGAAGAAGAGAGTTGTATTAACATTTAAATCTAAAATGTTATGTTCTTTATTGACGTTTACTTGCTGTTACTAATATTTTCGCAAATATTTATTTTAATATCATATGTCATATGCTTTGGTTAATATTTAATTCAATTTTATTAGAGATAATTGTGTATATATCGAAGCATTTCGTTTCTGAATACATTTGACCAATAAACCAACAATGAAAGGAAATTTATTGTTCCTTAATAGCAAATATTAATAAAGCTATGGTATGTTTTAATGGAGAATAGATTTACCAGGCATAAAATATCAATTATAGTTTATAGAATTATGATGGCGACATAAAAGTTCATTAGGTGATATTCGTGTTTTACTTCTAGAAATAACTATAATCTATCTGATTCTTGAATTTACGCTGAAGTTTTGATATCGAGGAAAAATTTGCATTCAAGAAAGTACGTAAATCAGATATTGAATAGACTCTTTTAGTATGATGTCGCATATTTAGGCAACCCACAACAAATTATCATAGTTGAAATTGTACAGACCGAATCTGACCCTTATTTACTATTTACATAGATACTATAGAAATGAACAACTTAAACACACAACAAATTATCTTATTTTTATAAGTACATATTTAAAAGTATTTAAGAACAGCCAACACGTGTTTCGTAAAATAGATACACTAATGTGCTTAAAACTTACAAAAAACAATATAAAATATTCTTAAATTTAAATAAAATAAAAATTTAACATTAGCCGTGTTATTCCTAAAGCGCATGCTCGGGAAGAATAGCCTCATATGCAGGTGAGATCTTGTTAATGTTGATTTGTCATCGCTGTTATCATTAGCGTATTTTTTCTTCTTTTGTTTAATGTTGGCATTTTCGAGTTTTATTCTACCAAGTATTTTTATTGTTTTTCTTGGTGTTCTGCTGTGTTAGCCTGTTTATCGAGTATTTTTTTCATCAAGTGGTTTATTAAAGACATACTCTTAACCAGAACTAAACTTTTCCTGAATGATATCCTGTTGCGAGGCTACTTCTTTATATGAAATTATCTTTAATGCGCATGCTCAGTAACATTGATATAATTTTACTTAATTAATTTAAAAGTCAATATTGCTCTATAAATTTAAAAATATGAATTATATAATTCTTTTAGTTTGTTACTTGAGGTTTGAAACCTCTTAAATATTTCTAATATTGTCAGACTATCGGGTCATGACAAAAACATTTCTTTTGCGCTTATGTCCAAAGGTCGAAAATCGATTTAGTAAATACGGAGAAATTCTTCATGACAATGTGTACTGTGGGGTTGCCTATTATTTGGCGTATGTGACGTCACTACAAAAAAGGTCTATAAGACCTCTTTTATGCACGCGTTTTTCTCCTCTCGACGCGAAATTGAGAAAAACGCGGTATATTTCTGCTCCATTTTATGCACGCGTATTCTATCAGTTGTCGCCAGTTTCATGTCACACAGTAGTCAGTGAAGTACATGAAAATGGATCCGTGTATATTGTATTTGTGCTATAAAAAAATATGTAATAGAAAACGTAAGATGCGATGGGTAGTACATCCAATTAATAGAAATAGAATTCAATTGCGTCCATTGCATCCATGTCCCGCTTGATCAATAGCTAAACTAAAACTAAAACAAACTGTGTTAAAACTATTCTTGACAGACAGAGCCACTGGACTTGCGACAAAGAGCGCTTTGCATAAAAACGCCAATATACTTTCGTGCTTTTTCGGAACGCGTGTCGCCAAGCGTTCTGTAAAGCCATCGCGACAGAATTGAAAACGCGAGAGCAAATAAACGAGCGTAAAATGCATAAACGTAGTAACTCTATTCAGGGTATCTTGAAACGCGGCGTTTTTGTCAACTCCGCGTTGAGAGGAGAAAAACGCGTGCATAAAAGAGGTCTAATAGTATAATAATCAGTGATAATAGTCTTATCTCAGTATTAAGGTGGGTAATTGTGGATAGGCAATATGCAACAACATGTGATTGTTGGGTTGCATATATACATTACATTTTTATTAAATTTAAAGAAGTACATATAAGCAGCGACCGAATTTAGGGATTGTGTACGATATGCACATGTAAATAATATAAAAGATCAATTAAGTCTTGTAATAAACTTTGAGATTTAATTAATCATTTCTGGTACATCCCTAACCTTGTAAAAATTATAAATCCTATAAAACAAATTCTTTGAACTAGACTTTACTGGTTGTTATCTGTGTACTTTTATGTATTTATTTATTGTACGTATATTATCTGGATTTTTACGGATTTCGAGTGGATTTTTGTGAACAACTCGACAATAATGAACACAATACTGATATCTTAAGGTACTGAATAGAGGGTGTCCAAAAAAACTGCCATTCGCTAGTTTTTAAGATATTTTGATGCAATTTGGCATGGGTTTTTGAATAAGGTTTCGAATAGGTTTATCTGAAATAGTATGTATGTTGCATGTCTCAAAAAATAGCATACAAATCAAGTATAGACTGTGGTTCATTTAATACCAAATATGAGGGAAATACTATGACTTTGTTGTGTTCTAAGTGAAAGGATACAAATGCATATAACATCAACTTACTCTTTGTCTAAATCTGTCTCTTCCACACGCGTCCTTCCATCCAAATGTACCTCCACCAGACCATCATTTTCGTCGATATACCTGATCTCGTCCAAATTCAAATCATTAAAACCCATCTTCTTCCCCCCTTTCTTCACTCTCTCCTCGCCCACGTGGTTGATCTTCACCTTCACCGGTTCCAAATTTCTAATATTGTTGTTCTTCTCCGCGACCTGGGATTTATTTTTATCCAGACAAACGACGATCTCTATCTGCACGTCTTCCTTGGAAGGACTCTCACGCACGTTCACGTCTACGCTCTTGATGCTGTTGTTGTTCCTCTCAGTCTTTCCAGGCGAAGACGATGGTTCTCTACCACGCACCTTCGAAGGCGGTCCCATCGTCACAAATTCATTAACTTTTTTTCACAGGGGAAGAGAATTGTACGCGAAAGTTCGAATCTGTTTCCGTCTGCTCCGGACGAACATTTCACTTGGCTTAGGCCGCTGGAAACCCGAAATTGTTCATATTACGAGTTTACGAAACGTGCCAGTTTCGACGAGCGTCCGCGGGAAGCAAAAGCGCACTGAGTTTGGTGTAGATCGTTTAGGTGGAAGGACTAGTTAATTAGTTATTAGGATAAACATAAACATAGATAAATTTTACGAAATGCAGGCAAATATCCTACTCCCACCTAGGCTCCGCGTATCTTTCGCTTTCCGTCTGAGCTCACTTAATGACTTTATTGCCCGTTAACGACATACAAACATAATTTTTCTCATATTCAGATGAATCGTAACGTCTAACAGCGGTCGAAATTGAAATAGTTCAGTGTTTAGTAATTAGCGATAAAAAATCAACTGTTGATTGTCGCTAGCGCAGTGGTACTTCCATGGAAAAATTGTTCGGGGATGCAGGGGGTAAAGTAAAAATATAGTTTTTGTTTTCGTACCTACACGATTTGATTATGGTGATAATAAATGTGGCACTTCGTTGGAAATCTCTTTTTAGACAGTGTTTCTACGCCACTGAAATTTTCGTAAATACAGTAGCATTTAGCGAGCGACGCTTTAGAGAAACAAAATCTCTTGGAAGACAGAATTATTTCAAATGAAGAATTAGAACTAATTAACTATATTTTCAAGGTAAGCAAATATTCATTCGAGGTTTACCATGGTAAATTCAAATATTAAATTATTGTAGAACGGCCACAAGAGTCCACAGAAAGTGCTTCGAGACAGTTAGAAATAACCCAAAGTAAAATTATTAGAACGTTACATAAATATAAATACCGCCCCTAGAAAACTATGTAGGTCCAAAAACTCACCCAAAATCAAAAAATTCAGCGATTAGAGTACTGCAGAGAATGCTGCACTTGAAAAATGGCGACCTAAACTATTTTGAAAATATTTTATGGACTGATGAGTCGACTTTTACAACAGCTGGCATTTATAATAGAAAAAATACTCATACCTGGGCAAATGAAAATCCTCACTGTACTAGGGAAATTCCAAGTCAAGGACGTACATCGTTTAATGTTTGGTGTGGTATATTGAGAATATTAAGGTGCAAGGAAAACAAATTGGAAGACCTGGTGCTGATTAACTGTACCAATTTAATTTGACACCAATACGGAGCGCTTCATCCGCACAGAACCAGAGCAGTACGAAATTATTAGGTTTGATTTGTGGATTGGTAATGGAGGAAATATTCAATGGCCTTCAAATAGACCAGACCTTACACCCTTGGACAGTTTTCTGTGGGGTTACTAAAAAACTAGTGTAAACTTAAATGAACTAAGACATAAAGTTGATTAATGCATACAAAATTTAAGTGAATATAATTCCTATTTCATGCTAAATGCAGTTCTGAGCATCTGTGACCATTTGTGTTTTAGTTGGTTTTTATTAATTAGGTATTAAAATTCTGTTAAAGTTAAGACTTGTTAAAGTTACGAATGATTTTTATTATTGTCATAAAATAAACGGATAACTTCAAATTTTTCGTTCTCACTAAACATTATTTCTTTGTTAAGAAAGTCATTTGCTTATTCCGCGTGCCTCGTCCATAGCCACTGGGATCCGTCAGACATAAATTTCCCTCCTGTTTTTTTTTCAAAAATAGTTTTAAACTGAAATATGTCGAAAAGTCCTGAATTATTCTGCATAATAATTTAGATTATGTCATACGACGTCGGGTGGTCAGTCAGATATAGATGAATAACATGGAATTAATTCAAATAAAAAAAACAGATGAAATCACATAATTAGAATTTTAAACAGGCCAATTCTTGGATATTTTGAGGTTCTGACCTCATCAGCGTAGATTGTCGATTTTATAACAAGCACAAAGAACGTTAAAAGATTACTATTTATGTTAACGCAAATGACTGAAATAATTCTAATTATTTACTAAGTATTAAAAATAATTGAACCAAGGATACCTAGATACAAACAGTTACTCGAAGCGTATGAATCACGAGATAATATATGGAGGTATTTTCATCCATTTTTTTTCTTATTTGCGCATGTGTTACAACTCTATGAAGGCGAAGGTTATATAGCGCTTAACATTGAGGGAATTTTATGGACAATGATGCGTCAGAACTTGAATTCCACAAATTACGATTTGTCGAGATTTATCAGCGGTGACGTGCTGGTAATTAACTTTGTAAAGACCGTCTAGTAAATATTTCGTATACAAATGTAAATACAAAGCTGAGTAATAAGATAATTTTACATCACGAATATCCTAAAATGGAAGAACGCATCAGGAAAACTGAATTTCTCTTGGAAATTTTAAATAGCCTAAAGAGGTCTCGGACATTCAATAATTTCGACAATAAAATGTAAATAACGCCTTTATCATATCAATATACAGTTATAACACTGATAAGTCAAGGTTGCGCATACCATTCAGATTGGGTCAGGTCAAAAAAATATTCTCCGTTATTTCAGAATGCATGTAGGACAATTATTTTATTTTTTTCCACGGAATACTTGGCACCGTCTCATACAACGTCTAGACTATTTATGAAACAGAAATATTTAAGTTTAAATTAGAATAAAACGTTCAAGGCACGCCACTGGTGTGAAATATTATATCGGTAAGTCGTTGATTGCGCGTTTTTTTTTAGAGGCCTGTAGGTATAGACCTTGCATCAGCTCTGAGACTACCCTAAGCAAAAATTCTAGCTACGCCCATGTCCTTTAGTAGAAATCTCTTCAATTATACACTACACTAGTGTCAAATCCAAATTTTATTGAATTAAAATTGACCATCCTGTATTGTATTTTTAGGCATTAATATAACAAATGGGAGATCTACGTCTAAGTCTTCTATGAACGTTTTTAAACGACATTTAAGAATTTTCAAGATGTAATTAATTTTATTCTGCTTAATTTAGCTTTTATGATCTAATTACAGTTTATTAGCCTGTTAGCGTTTAATAGTGTCCTCCTCCAGAAATACACCACTTAATTTAGAAATGCAATTATCTAATAATTAATTAACATTATGCAGACTAAGGTAATTGTACTAGAATATAAATAATTATTTTCACTGACATTGTTATTAAGGACCAATCTGTAAAGTCTCAAACGAATTTATTTCAAAATATGGCCTTTAGGGACGAAAATTTGAAACATTCTGACTCAAACTTCAAAGTTAAGCAAATACAAACTCGTGCTACACTAGAACCTCGTAATACACCCGTGGAGAGATCTTTACGTGTATGGCCGACTTTATTGTAGATACGTTCATAAAGGCAATCAGTATTAACAACTTTTTGATTAGATAAATGTCTGTATAAGTAGTAAATTGGATACTGATTAACAAAAATAATCTCTAGGAGAAAAATAATGACAATCTTGATATTTTACGATTTTGTAGATTCCATCGCGAAATTAAGGTAGACATTTAGAAAATTCCATGCCTCGTTCAATGCGTTGGGTCATAAAAAAACATGATATATTAAGAAATGCAGGAGACGACAAATTAACGTAATTAAACATAGAAAATATATATTTTTTTATTAAGAACATTTTATCAAAATATGATTCATTTTCATTCTATTCAATGCTTGTTTCACAAATTACACAAATTGCAATTTTATTTAGTTGTGAGACAAATGCGTATACAGTATCTCTGAGAATAACCTTCTAATGTATGTAGTTTCACTCGACAAGATGAATCACTACATTTCCATTTAAATTGATCAGTTATTTATAGTATTTACGTATTTACTATCTTGTAATATAAAACATACGTTTGTCATCAATTTTTGTATTACAGCTTTACTAGGTTTTAATAGTATGATGTATATTGTGGCGAAAACAAAAAACAATTGAAAATGTTTGTACAAATTTGTGATACGATTTTTGTTTGTTATGTATTTTTTAGCACATTCAGGAAAACAATGGATATTATTGTTGATTCGCTTTTTATCACGGTTATTCAGAAACGATACATTTCCTAGGCAGTTTAGTTTAAGTAAAATATATCAAGTGGTCTGAACAAATATTTGGCTATCCAAATATTTTTGATAACGACAGGCGCTTATCAATTTCTTTTTGGTGACATCATGACATGATTTTCAATTTTCGATAGTAGGTATTTGAAGACGTAAAACTAATAAATATAAAGAAGATATAAAAAGTATCATTGAAAGAAGCAAAATTTGCTGTTCGCAATTCATTCAAAATTATTTCTCATATTGCCACTACAATAATTTTGCTTAGAAGGGTTTTTACTTTAGTTTGAAGGTAGGTAAAATGCATCCAACTTATTTGAAAGTGATATTAGAAGAATAAAGGATATTTCTTTGAAAGGTTACATTATTTAGCAATTTTATAATTTCGGGTATGTGTTTTTGTATTAATAATATTTAGACATCATTTTTAATTTTTATTTTAGATAATTATTGTTTACTAGACATTGTTGGTATAATTATATGCTAGTTACGGCAGCCGTCCATAGAGTAGCTGTTTCTTACAGTATCACCTGTTAGATGTAGGTTAGTGTCTATGAAGATGGATATATTTCACTTGACAGGACTTTTTGGAAAATTCTTGAATTTATTTGAATATTGTCGACGCAATTTATCAACATCCAACAAGTATACCTTTTATATTTAAAAATCATTCTAAATTTCATTATTCCCTTATTTAAACAGTGACGTAGCATTTGTATTTTTTAAAGGGCTCTGAGAATGAAGTTTGCCTGTTATTAGTTTTTTTAGCATGCGAATTTTGCAAAGGAAATGTACCAAATATGAAATAATTTCAAAATGTTTTTTCCTCTAGAAAGGAGTGAGTAGTGACATTGTAAATGTTTATTTAGATCATTTCTGCAGATATGTCGCGAAATTAAATAAAGCTCACAACCGGAAGCCTTGAGATATCAGGGAACAGCGGCTTCATTCATCATAAATCGTTTTTTATATTTGTACAATCAGTTTTCTCAAGGGCGTAGGTATACAAGAAGGGTTAGGGGGCCGTCCCCCTTATATTCCCGCTACGTCTTCCTTTAAAATGAAATTTAATACAAATATTTAAATTTAAATAAAAAATAACATTTCTATCAAATAAATAATGCCACAGATTCGGGTATGTAACATATACGTCTCGAGTTTTTGAATTTCGAACTAATTAATACTTAGAGGGTCAGAAAAACTTAAAGCAAACTGAATAAAAACTATTAATTTTTAATTTGGCAAAACTTAGGACACTGTGAAAAAAGGAAAATTAGGTACCTTTATGCATTTTGTATGTACGTGAATTACATATAGGTTATGCCTATTTCCTTTATAAAACCAGATAGGTAAGACAAATGGGTATTTTAAACATCTAGAAACGCACTTAAATTAACACTTGCCTTCGCAACTTAACAGTACCTACAAAAGAAAACAACGTTTACATCATAAACTGGTTGTGGTATTGTTTATAACGCGTATTTTTTTATTCACAACGCCCCGATATCTATTGTCGGATTATCATCAGTACCCACGCATACAGATAAGGCGAGATTTAAACTGTTATTAAATAAAAATAATGCCTGAAGCGAGAAAAAGTTACGTTTGTATGTTTGTTTACACAACAGGTGAAGAAAGTGAGGTTATGTCACCCGTACACTCACCGGTTGGGACTGAAGTCTCGGCTCCGAGTCTGTTAAATAATCCCGATTTTCCCTACCAACTGGCACGTTTTTAAACTTTCACGGTAAACTACACGAAAACGGCATGTGGACTATTCTTAGCCGTGACCTTCGGGACTTACCTCTCGGCAAAACAACTAAACCACTCCGCCACGAACCAAAACAGCGCGAACACAGACGCACGTGACACTCGCGGCGCGTTATGTAGAAGATAAATTCCCCTGTTTGATGAAATGTCCGTGCAAGTGGTCACCGTTGAGGTTCCCTACCACGATCCGCCCCGCAACCAACAAACCGACGGACCCGGGCGAGATATGTGGGACTTTCATATCAAAATATTGCATCAATCTGGCCGAACCGTCGGCTGCGGGCGATTTGAAACGTTCGTCGCATGGCAAGGTTACGATTCGCTGGCCGCACACACATAACGTGGATACGGCATACATTCACCGTTAAAAAAAATCGCTCTCGACGTCGAGCACCTCGGAACGGTGTCAATAAAAATAAATTACACGCTGATAATGCTCGCGGCGTCCTAGGAAAACTAGCGGTGATGAAAAATGTCCGCAAGGGGCGCATGGACTCTGGACACTTTTACCGGCCGTTGTGTTTGTTTTTCTTGCATCCAATGCGGATTTTCTGGGCTCCAAAACCTAGTATTTTCCATATAAACAAAAAGTTGTTTCGTCAGTGAAAATTATGTGATTTTTTAAGTTGGGTTGTCTTTTAAATAAACTAATTTCCTCGCAAAACTGTAATCTTCTGTCTGTGTCATCTGCCCATAGTTCTTGTAAGACGTTAACTTTGTATGGATGTCACTTTTGACTCTTCAGAGTTATCTGAACTGAGGATTTCGACAAGTTGAAGTTGGCCGAGATAGATCTAACGGATGAGTAAGGATTTTCAGTGACGTGACGGACATTATTCGATTTCATTGAATTTAATTCTTTCGGTGCGCCAAAGCACAAATAAAAGGAGGAAATATTCGGAAATACCCTCATGGCTTTGCAACATTCTGGTATTGATTTACCACTTACACACACGCTAGTCGAGGGTCGATTTGGGTTTATGCACTGTCAGGAACTGGTGGTAGAAATTAATCATCTAATGAGCTGACCCAACGGAAGGAATAAAGCCAAATACTGTTTCCGGTTTACAGATGGGAATCTGCGACTGAGGCCTCGGTGCATCAATCATTATCATCCTTGGGGCGATCTTAATTGATTTGAAAGACGAAAAGAACAGAAAGTAAAGAGAATTTTACAAATAGCGAAGCTGTTTTGTAATAAAACGCCCCCCAAAGCAGTTACAGCTTCAAATAACATAACTTTCATCCAAAGATGATACAAATTTGATGAGAAATAAAACAGCAATACCGAAAAATCGATCTGCTTCAAGAAAAATTGAGGAATAAATGATAAAGTCTCTATTTTAAGTATTGTTGACATCAGCCACGTAAAAGGAAACCAAGCCTTTAACTTTTTAGAAGCAGCAGATGTGTGAAATATTTGACTAGCTTTATTTACTTTCAAGTGTGCACACAAATCGACGGTAGAGTATGTCAGATTTTGATTGTACATCTGGCAGGAAATTGCAATAGAAAATATATGTGTATTGATACACATGAGACATATTCATCAGCTAAATTTATAATAAAAAAATGTTAGAAAATAAACATTAAAGATAAATATAAAATAGAAAGGGACCTCAAATAAGATGCTATAAATAGAACCAGACACCTTGCCAGACAAAAGAAAATAAATCACCCATATTAACAGCGACTGATGATGGACAAGCTAGTAAATAAATACCACAACACTAGAAAATATGAAATTTTATTGGGTCACAGATAATGTTACGCCTGCCTTGGAAAAATGTCTGTCGATGACAAACAAATCAAATTGTATGTTTATCCCTGTATTGTATGTACAAACCCAATAAATGAATGTAAACCCACCCGAAAAATCAATTGTTAAAGCGTCGATTATACAATACATTCTCAAAATGAACGTCCAGTTTCATGTTGCATCAAAGGGAGCGGAAGGAACGGGAATAATAATTTAATAACGTCGGATGAGATGAAACTTAATTAGTTGTGAAAAATGTGTTCTTTTCGAATGAATCATCTGACACGGCGAGCCGTGAAATAGCCGGCTCATCGCCATGGCAACCATTGAGTGAGTTACACAAACGAACGGCATGCAGGAAACAATAACTTTCCTTGTTTAAAACCCGCATCGGCATCAGCGTGGTTGTAGAGGTAGAGGAAGGGCAGTGAACTACGTATATGAGCGCCGAGGATGTTTATGGTCGAGAAATAAAGGTCAGAGGGGTAAATGTGGAGCTTTGTTAAATTAATTATTAAAATCGCTAAAAAAATTGTACCTAATGTAAAAATGAGGTTATGCCAATACCGGTAGATTGGGTGAGTTGAAAAAATAGCAAATGGATTTTAAAAAGTAAAACACATTTTTGCCTACCTGCCAATTAAAGAGTCCCTGTCAGCCATCCCTCCAGTTGCTGTCACAAACCACAAGTCTTAATACTCTGGGCTTTAGATATTTCTAGATTATTTATAATTATCTCATTCTGAGGTCTTTTAAAAATATTTAAACAAACTGCGAACTTTTAAAACAGCGAACTTGTAAAACAGCGATAACATGTGCCAGCCCGTTGATAACGAAGTTATTATTATCATGGCTAATAAGTAGAAAAACAAATTAATTAACATTCCCCCTCCCGTTCTAAACAGCACGACTACGTTCGAGGTAAATGGACGATATTAATTACACAACCACACAAAAATCGACTTCCGGGCCTAGAGGTCATGCCATGTTTATTATACGTTTTTTGGGTCGCTGAATCCGAATCCGAGGTCCATTTAACCCCATCACCTCAGGATTTTTCATAACCACAAGGAAAAAAACGATATTCTGAACAATTAAACCATATAACCTTAAAACTCAAGCTACCAATCTAAATCCAATTAACCAAATCCCATAAACATTTAACCCAATGATATCCCAACCCAATAAGTTCATGAAAAATCCTGAGGTGATGGAGTTAAATGGATTCAGATTCAGCGACCCAAAAAACGTATAATAAACATGGGCCCGAAAGTCGTTTTTTTTATGTGGCTCTGTTATTTCTGGCTATAAGAGTCCATTCAGTCAGGTAAAACCGCAGTAAATCTTAGTTTTTAATCATTATTATTAACGAGTATTTAGACATAACTTAACTGTAACTTTATCGTAAACCTTGGTCTTAGTCTTAATGGTCTTAATTTTTACCTCTTTCATAAAAGAACTGACGCTTAGCCTCTTTCATAAAAGAACTGACGCTTAGAAATGAACAATCTAATGACTTTTGCGCATGCGTTCTTATTGTAAGCTTAAGGTCTGTCGAGGTCACGTAGACCTTTAAGAGTGGTACAGTCTTTCCGATCTCAATTGAAGAACCAAGAGGTTGACAGTATATACCAGGTTCAGTCGCTAACGCAGCAATATTGAAATATTTGAAAAACTTGTTCCCATATTTATTTAGCCCATATACAGGTCTGGTCGTCCAGTCGATGAATGAGCGCGCGGGCAAACGCGGCACAAACACAGCCGCATTGGGCGACCTGACCATAAATTCAGTTGTCGACAAATGACCTAGCACCAATGCCGAATTTGGTGTGATTCAGGTAATTTTAATTTATTATAGGCACTTTCTACATTCATTGCGAAAGGGATAAATAACAGGGATATTTTACTAATATTATTACAAATTGGATTTTGGAGACCTTTTGAAACGGAACAAAACGAAGTTTACCATCAATATAATAAAAGACACAAATAATTAAAACACATTATATACAAATTATTATAATATTATATATTATAATAATTTCGGAAAGACTATACTAATTTGGAGTTTTAATAAACTAACTAACATCTAACTTCTTAGGAAAAAGGCTAGGGCTAAGTTAGGGCTAAGACCTTTATTGATCCCAAGAAAGGATATTCTTCTATTCAATTTGCTACAATTAAATACAACATAAATGAAATCAAGATCCGCAAATTATTATCAACGATTTTTTTTCCTTTTTTATTTGATAGGGTTATAAATTTAGTTTTAATTAACCACAAATGCCTTTTACATAGGAAGTAGATAACTGTTGATAGTTTCACGATAACAAGACAAGATAACGTTTCAAAAACTCATTTGTTTTCATTCTCGAGACTCAAATAAAAACGAGTGAAAGTCAAAATTGATTTTTTTCGATCAAGCTGATTTAGGCACAAAACAGATAAATTTTCTTAAAGTTAACAACTTGTCATGTAATCCTGAACCATTTCTATATTTTTTTTTATTTGAGATATGTGCAATCAAACAAAACTACGTTTACAACATCTACATTTGCAGTTAAATAAAAAAGTAGGTAATGAAGAATGCCACAAATGAATAATGACAGACAATATCATTTATACTATATTGCAATGAAACTTGCTCTCAGTTTGTGAGTAGGTATTTAAATGAAAGCTTCAACATGCTGACGGCTATCTGGAACTGATACATATTAGAAGTACGTATTGTGTCGTCATTACTTAAACATGTTGACTGCTTCTTATGACATGAATAATAGGGTTTATGAAAATTCATTCAAATTACTTGTTTAATTCTATTAAATATTCAAATACGCGACTATATATCATCCAGTATGCAAACAATAGCGGTCCTAGTTGGCTGGGTAACGAATCTTTATAATAAAAACTGTTTACGTACATCTATTTTTATTATTTAAATAAAATCTGGCTGCAATTTTTATTATATCAACAGAGCTGTAAATTTTCTACAAGCGAATACTAATATGTTTATTTTTCACCGCTTGCCAAAGCTATGAAAAATATTTAGTATGTTATTATTTAATTAATATTACGCACAAATTGTGACCGCGCGAGCCGCCTCTGGATCGAAGAAAACCCGTCCGGACGGCAAATAAATTAGTTCAAATTCGATTTGTTGCGTAGAAGAGACAATTTCCACGTAGTATCATTTACGTAGTGCGTAGGAGCCAACTTATTCGTTAAGCTCGGACGTCGACGTCGCGACGGACAGGCGACAGTAAGCGTATTTTGATTGTTAGTCGACCAAGGCGAGAAATGCCAAGAATTGCGGCTCGCAAAGCATATGCAATACGCAGTTGATAGTGCGATGTCAGCCAATTATTGTCCTACGAGTTTCAATGCCAAATGCTGGGTAGCCTGCAAGTTCAATAGGATTGATTAATGGGGTCAGATTGAATTGTCTTCTATTAGTCCGGGGTCACATACGAGGCGAGAGGAACAAGATCTTGAAAAATATGCCGACGTTTAAAGTAGATACCATAGAACCAGCAACAAGAAGAGAGGTCTACATCAGGGC